CCTCATGCCCAGCCGTGCTTTAGTCCAGGACACTCACAACCTTAATGAATTACAATCACTTTCCTTGCTGAGTACAGCAGATTCTCAGTTTACGACACAGTTCTGTTCTCACGGCGGTGGCATGACCCAAATTTGTATGTAAGAACATGGCATAACTGTGTACTAGCAATAAATGGTGATAACATCGTCATGAAGTCATAATTACAGAAACTATATGATAAATAGGCTCCATTTTGAATCCGCCATACCGAATATGGTGTTGTGAGACCGTTCCTCCATATTGTTTTCGTTGCGATGCAGTTGCTATAGCTCTTTTATGCTTTGCATCTTTATTCTTTGATATAGACTTGATGTCTCACAGATAATAAACTCAGATCACTCAGTGACTGGTTGTCAGTACGTCGAGCTTTCTACCAGAGTGCCAGCTCTCTTCCGTGTGCTGCTCTCTGTAGTTACTTTGTATTGTCGTAGCTCAAGACTTTTACTTTTCTACTTCAATGTCATGACTGCGGCTGGGTCCGAATTTGTGACTGGACAGAGGTCAGGATTGAACTCGGGAGTTATGACACCTACCGGTAGCTGTATACGGACAACAAACACGTATACACACGTAGAAAGAAATTGCCATACACAGACTGTGGCATTTCAACCAATCTCCCTCTTTAGGTCTCGGGGAGCAGGGCTAAAGTTGGCACGAGCTGCAATGAGTGTGTGTGTGTGTGTGTGTGTCTGTGTGTGTGTGTGTGTGTGTGTGTGTGTGTGTGTGTGTGTGTGTGTGTGTACGCGAGGCCACATGCCAGGATTTATATGAGCGGCGCGTGGTCTTGTGTCCCTGCTAGTGGACCATCTGAATCCAGCTGGCCGTTTATGACTTGATAGAGATGGAAGCTTTGGTCGCGGCCCAGGCATGTTGCGTCTCTTTAAAGCGGGACGCGCGTGACGTGCCGTCATCAAAGCCGCACTGTTGTCAATAGCAGCATATGCACGGTACACATGCACCCGCCGCTCCTGCCAAACCCTTTCATGTTCAATTGTCTGATGTGCGTTTTGTATTCACATCACGACACTTTATTTCTGATGTGTGATGCCAGACTTTTTTTTTTTTTTGGTCCAAATGTGCATAAAATGCATTGAAAAGGGAGCAAATCAAATCGCTAACACAGACTCCCCAAGTGAGCGTTTAACCCATGTCTGCTTTGTTATTTTCAGACAATCTTTTACCTGCAATCACACATCCCCGCTCCTGCAACACGCAAATGGTTTTCTCTAAGCCCCGCCCCTGCGACCTTTTGGGCTTCAGCTGACGCATCATTATGACCTCATTAAAAATGGACAGACAGTCATTGCCAGAGGGGAAGTTCTCATAATAAAGTCAGGCTTTTAATTGCTTCGATCCAGAAATGAGCTGTTACATGTTGGTGGGTGGGCGTCCCCGCGTTCCTTCGCTCACTGCCTTCCCCTTCTTGTTTACTCCTCTTCCTCCTGCACTCTTTAAAGGGCCGAACGTGTTTGCAATTTTAAATGACACTGTCATTTAAGTGCATAAACACTAAGGTCACTCACTGATGGTGTAGAGGGTCTTCTTTTACTCCACATTTTTATATCACAGTTTCATTTCTTTTATAAGCTGTATGTGCAAGAACACATTATCAAAGTTGTGTGTCATGGATGGTGTTCTTCAAATGTATCAATTATCGAGTGATCACAGTTATGCAATAATATCGTTGGCGAATTATTACAATGAAAACAAACTTACGAAATAAAAACTATCGCGGATAGAATAAAGCAAAGATAAAGGACTACGTTTAGTTCTTTTAAAGTACGATTCATCTCCTCCCATTCTGCTTTGTGGAAAATATAAAAACCTTCAATGAGACACGTTGTTATGTAGAGTGGGACCCCGTGTATTAAATTCAGACCTACCAATACAAATGGGATGGCTGTGGTCTGTCAGGTTGATGTATATTGTATATATGTAGGCCTAGATGTGTGTGTGTGTGTGTGTGTGTGTGTGTGTGTGTGTGTGTGTGTGTGTGTGTGTGTGTGTGTGTGTGTGTGTGTGTGTGTGTGTGTGTGAATGATGCATGTGCAGCCACTAACGGCTGCTATTTGTTTTCCTCCTTGGGAACACATGCAAACACGAAACGGTGAAAGCATTTAATAAAGAACTGCAACCCTCTAATTGAGTTTCTCACATTTCCTCAGACATAAAAATAAGCATTATGGCCCCGGTGAACACTTAAGGCAAGTACAAACTGCCAATAATACATGAGCTTATATGTCCTGCACGTGTACTGGTCCAATATACGTGTATGCAAGCAGACTTAGGGTACACAACGGGAGATGATACATGGCCTCTGCCAATGTCAGATTGACTGGGAGAACAAACGCTATGGCAGCAGCTTGTTGGGAGGGATATATAAGTGCGGGGGAACCAACGAAAAGATGAGTTGGCATTTATCGTGGAGGGTTTTGTTGCACTCTTGGGGAAAAAAAAAATATAGTTTCTTCCGCTTATTTACAACACCATCTACAAGCTGTTTGCTAAGGTTTTGTTCGTACTTATTCATGGGTGCTGTATGTCAACGTCAAAGAGCCGATACAAAAAGCTGTATCAGAAAATTGTCACAGAGGTACTCATATTTATTTTTGTGGTAGTAGTTTGCAGGGCACTGCGTAATATTGGTGTTTTTAATGTTGGGTTGTCTTATTTTGTTCAATAAAGGAGTCAACATATTAGAAAAAGCATCTTTCACCGTGATCTGGCGGGGCTCACTGCAAACCATTACCACAATAATTGAACACATGAAGAGTGCAAATGCAAAAGCATCTCAATCTTTTGGGGAATTAAATATACTTTTTTTCCCCCATTTCTGGTTCCAGGTTACCACTCATAATATGTTGTTACGGTATTTAGCGTAAGCAATTAAGAGGTTCATTTAGCAATTTGTCTGTCAAGACAAGTCAAAGAAAATTTTTCTGTGCACAAACAGACTAGTCCAAAAATCACACATTCGCGCAACTATGAAACGATATTGAAATGCTCAGCATACTTTGTGAATAAAATGAACAACGGATGAGTGTACAAGAGGTACAATCTGTTTAATTAACCCTTAGCTGTAACCTAAATTAACTTGAATTAACCCTAACCCTTCAAAGGGAGAGAATAGTCGCATTGATTGCACATTGGCAAGCTTTACATACTAGTTGTTTGGTTTTGCACGGATAGGAGGTGCCCCATCCAACGATGCAATGATTGGGAAGTCTGCAAGTTGGCGTGACTCTTATTTTTGTCTAATTGTCACATGCCAGCTTTTGTCTTTGAACTGTAGTTTTCTGACAGAAAAAAAACCAAAACAGATTTTTAGCAACCCTTTCCAACTATCAAATTTCTTTGATCGGGTGTAACTATATTTCGACTCCATTCGGCCACTGTGTCCCCCGCCCCCCACCACCACCCCCACACACCTTGCCTCTCATCCTCCCCCGGCCCCTCTCCTCAGCACCTATAAATCAATCTCTTCTCCCAAGCCTCCTCCATTCCTCCCTCCCTCCCTGGCCGTTAGACTTTCTCTATCGGCCGTCCTCTTCTTCCTTGCGTGGCAGAAAGTGAGGTGGGAGTGGAAAGGTCAGAGGTGGGAAGACCAAAGGCAGAGAAAGAGTTAGAGGTACCAGGGGAGTGTGAAGAGGAGAAATGAGTGTATTTAATCAAAGCGGTGCGAGAGCAGTCATATCAGTTGTTCGTTTTCAGCACTGCTGGAGCAACTAATCTTACCTCATTCAGACATAACATACATGTCGTATGCATCTGACAGAAAAAAAACCAAAACAGATTTTTAGCAACCCTTTCCAACTATCAAATTTCTTTGATCGGGTGTAACTATACTGTGAAGTTATACTGTCCCTAATGAAGTGTCCTGTGAGCGTACGTCACCCCGCCGGGATGGAGGGGAGCACAAATGTAGAGGTGAGTGGATAGATAAAGTGGTTGCACAAGCATGAGTGGGAGAAGACAAGAATGGATGGCGAGGAGGCTACCGTGCATCGGCCTGAGCCGCGTTCTCTGAC